AAAAAAAAAAAAAGAAAAGGGAAAAAGAAAACAGCGGTAGTTGAGGAAACATAAGCGAGTGAATCGATAAATCTTAAATATTAAATAAACTGGGATGGATGTGGCACTAGTGTCGCCATTGTATATTCTTTTTTACAAATCGCAATTGATATATTTCTTTCTTTTAATCCCAACGAATGCAAAATTCGCAAAATTTTTCATTCTATTTCAACTCAGAAATGTCCTATTAATCTCCAATAAAGAAAATTTTATTTCAACTGCAATTAATTTCTTCATACTTTGTTACATTATGCGTATAATAATTTATAGGTATATTAATCTGTAACCCTTGTATTCCTACTCGCTGTTTGTATTTATTTTCTTCCCCCGTTTTCGACAGATATATCCTAGAGAGAAGTTTAATTTTGCGATGATTAACGATACGGCCCGTTGTATAATTTTCGATTTGCAGCATCTACAATGCTGATGCAACGGACGAGTTCACAAGAGCCTCTCTTAACCGCTCCTGCAATTATGTTGACGCAATATACCGAGAGACAGTCGGATTCGCTTTCTCTCATCTTTCTAGCTCTCTTCACATCCTCCGATCTTTGTAATATCCGACATTAGAGATCGGTACACGGCCTCGTATCCGTATCGTCAGTTACGTAAAGATCGTAACAGATCTCATCCGTGTGTTTCCTTTTCAACATGAATCCGAAATAATATACCAGGAAACGTACAAGCAACATCATTCCATCGTCACAATTGATACGATAGAATCTCACAGATCTTTTTTTGAACACCTTGCCTCACGATTTTGCTTTCGAGTCTTCTTAGGTAAGCATCAGTTATTGTGATATATATTATCGATATATTACATCGTGTCAGATGCAAGATATTGAAACGTTACACATGCAACGAACAACGTAACTCACTCAAGACCTCAAGATGAAGAATTATCGATAATTTGAATTGTTACAGCTTTGTAAATGAAAAGCGTGCAACAAATCACTTCAAACAAGCATAGAACCTCTATTTCGACAGGCCCTAAAAAAATGATTTTATATCATGTAATGAGCGGAAAAGTGAGGATATATTTTACAGCGAGAACGCTGTAAGAACGTCCCTAAAAATATTGAAAAATTTGTTTCGTGACTAGATCACAACCATTATTTTAAAACCTCTTCTTTACAACGAGTCCTTAGAATTTTCTATATGATTTTTTTTTGATTGATATTAGAATTGAACAACAAAAATTCTACGTTTCGGCATAATTCCTAATATAGGACTATTTTTTTTTAAGAGAGGTCGTCGTAAAAAGAAAATTTCAATCTTCAAAACGATTTTGAATCCAGGTGTGAGAAAAATTTTTTATATGTTTTTAGAAAAACGTATTTTTACCTACCTGTCCGCTGCATAATGTGAAATCAATTTTGGAAAAAGCAAGCTCAATATTGTGAAATATTGTGAGACTTTATGCTTTAAAATTAAACCAAATAGATTGTTACATGATTTTTTTCATCATTATTGGTTCAATTATGCTCTTCGAATGCATACGATTTCTATTTATTAGTTTTCCTAATTGGAAAAATTGAAATTTGAAACTCGAATTTAGATTACACAAGACTGTATCCTTTTCCTTTTAAATCGATATCGAATAATTCCAATACGATATTAAGAATCAATATAAATCGAAAACATATATTATAAAACTGACAGAAATATTTTTCTTTCAATGCCATTGACGATATAAGAAGGAATTTAGAACTCTAAGTGATTTAGAAGTGTCCCTTTTTCCTTTTCTTTTATTTCTTTCAAATCAACAATTCCTTCACGTACGAATTATTTTTGTGACAAACATAAATATTAATATTATATTACATGCTATTCGTCAAAGACGATGCTCGATTGTAGAAATCTACTCAGATTATACATGTATTTACTTTGATATTTGAATAAATTGAACCTTCCAAAGTAATAATTGAATCCCGGAAGTCCGCTCGAGTGCACTATTGTAAACCATAAACGTTGTGTGGTATTAATTTTTTCTATCTTTCACTGAAAGCAATCGAAAGACAGAATAAATAATTTTCTACAGACGAAAAGAGAAGGATTAAAACATCATACAACGATGGTTCATAAATTTAATTATCGAAAAATATATTTATCAATACGTACCTTCTCGTTCTCGATGGATCATACTTATAATTAGATTCGAGTGTGCTTCATGTGCAATTCTGATTTCATTTAACTATATAGATATTTGTTAAAATATACTTAAATAACTATATAGTTAAAGTATACTTGCCAGAAGTTCAGATGCACTATGGTGCACGAGGATTCAATTACTTTGGTAAATTGTATTTTCCTGAACAGGTGCTTGAAAGAGGTTCGAACCAATTACAATTACAGCTAGTACATACTAATCCCATCGCTAGATGTGGGATATTAAA